GTCTATATATGTGTCTGCATGTTCGAATCCGGCTGGTGCCATGCTCTCCATTTTCCAGTGAAGTTTGCCCAGTTGAAGTGTCAGGTGATCATTATGGGCCATTTAAATTTAGTCATTTTACCCCAAAATGTGATTATTGCGAATTTGTCCTACACTAAAAATGATCAGACGATTCGATTCGATTTTATCACTTTTTTTATTTTATATTCGAATCCTAAAACTATACATTTTAATACTAAATTTTCTGTTTATTTTATTTTTCAAATATATAGAACCTAAATACAGAAATACGAGCTATTGTTCAATTATTGGGGGTTTTTTTTTATTATTGAGATTACAGAATTGCTAATGTGTGTAATATTTTATATTGCAGAATTTGTCATGTATAATCAAGCCTTGACCATATGTTATCTAAAAATTATATGCTAGCTAAAACTCATAGCACATTAATATTCTCGTAGCCACACCACCTTTTGCGCTCTAACAAAAAAATTTCCTTGGGCAATTTTACTATATAACCAGCTAATGTTTAACCCTATCGTAAGCACTAACCCTAACTTAAAAAGATTTTTTTTGTGCGCCACAACACTGTCACGTGAAAGTGAAAATTTTGACGGCGATACTGGGAAGATATTAACCATCACGTAATTATTATTTCTGCGCCTGTCATAATAAACTTTTAACATGCTAACTTCAATTGTAGAGTTCTACAACCTTAATAAAACTTTCTATTATTTATTTGTAGTTCGATTTTATTAAAAAGAAACTGTATAAAAAATGTAAAATTGATTTAAACAGCCAATTATATGAAAGTCATTCTATGATACCACATATAAAAGTACCCTCCTTCTCTACCAATGAGATCGCCGGATCCGGATTCATGAATAGTACCCAATTTTCAACGATATATAATATTTGGTATATAGTAATTATTTTATCGGCCAGCTGAAATGTCAATGTCATTAGCAGAAGAGGAGGAACTTCAAATCGAGAGCAAGTATATAAAAGAAAAGAAAATAGGAGAAGGAACTTATGCGAAGGTTTACAAAGGTATAACATCGCGTTCTCTTTCAAATTTTAGGAAAAGCAATATTGAGTTTTCAAATTTTGAGTTTAGGGAAAGATCGTGAAACTGGACGTTCAGTGGCTATTAAAAAGATTAAGCTCGTACAAACAGAAATAGGGTTTCAGGGGATAGAAATATCGGCCGTTAGGGAGGTAAAAGTTTTGCGGGAGTTAAGGCATCCTAATATCATTGAGGTTTGTTATTTTAGGAACTTTAGGGAGTGCCGTTTATTACTTAATTTAACAGGAGAGGGGTTTAGTCATCTATCACATTAAATAATAATAATAAATTGTAATATCACAAGGGGAGGGAGTGTAATATTTTCATAATAATAAAAGAAAATTACTTAATAAACGGTTCTCCCCTTATATGGATATTATTATTCTTTCCTCATGACTAATATATTTTCATTTTCAAACGCGTTTTACAGCTAATCGACATATATTCACATCAAACAAATTTACAACTTGTCCTGGAATATTTGGATTCCGATTTAGAAATGATTATAAAGGATAAGAGTCTCGTATTTATATTGGCAGATATCAAAAGTTGGATGTTGATGACTTTGCGTGGGTTGTATCACTGCCATCAAAACTGGATTTTACATCGTGTAAGTTTAGTTAATACATAATAATTTATATAAGTAAAGATTAGCATTCATTTTCGAATTTTGATTTGTTTTAATTTACATAAAATTAAGGATATGAAA